TTAATGAAAATCGAAAAAGACATTAAAACTAGTGAAAACTGGGATGCCTCCGTTGTTCAGTCGGTTAAGCGTCTGCCTTCGGCTCAGGTCATGATCCCAGGGTCCTGAGATCAAGTCCCACATCGGGCTCCCTGCTCTGCAGGGAGTCTGCTTCTCCCTCTGCCTGCCACTCCCCCTGCTTGTGCTCTCTCTCTCTCTTTCTGACAAATAAATAACTAAAATCTTTTTTTTTTTTTTTTTAAGATTTTAGTTATTTATTTGACAGAGAGAGACACAGTGAGAGAGGGAACACAAGCAGGGGGAGTGGGAGAAGGAGAAGCAGGCTTCCCACAGAGCGGGGAGCCCGATGCAGGGCTTGATCCCAGGACCCTGGGATCATGACCTGAGCCGAAGGCAGAAGCTTAACGACTGAGCCACCCAGGCGCCCCAATAACTAAAATCTTAAAAAAAAAAAAAACTAGTGAGAATTATTAGCATAATTATAGTTAAATTTAAGCATTTAAATTTTTTTACATTTGAATCTTTATTTTTTTTAAAGATTTTAGTTATTTATTTGTGAGAGGGAGAGAGAGCACAGAGAGAGAGTGAGGGGGAGAAACAGACTCCCCACTGAGCTGAGAGCCTGCCATGGGGCTCGATCCCAGGACCCCGAGATCATGACCTGAGCTGAAGGCAGACGCCTAACCCACTGAGCCACCCAGGTGCCCCTGAATCTTTATTTTTATTATTTATTTTAAAAATTATTTTGAGTATAGTTGATACACAATAGTACATTAGCTTCAGGTATACAACAAAGTGATTCAATTTCTTTATACATTATGCTATGCTCACCACAAGTGTAGCTACCATCTGTCACCACAGAAAGCTATTATGCTGTCATTGACTGTATTTCCTATGCTGTGCCCTCTAGTCCTGTGACTTACTCATTCCATAACTGGAAACCTATATCTTCCATTTTGCCCATCCCCTCCCCCCCACCTCTGGCAAACATCAGTTTTCTGTATTTAAGGTCTGATTCGGCTTTTTGTTTGTTTATTATTTGTTGTTGTTGTTTTTTGTAGATTCCACATATGAGTGAAATTGTATGGTATTGGTCTTTTTCAGTCTGACTTAATTTCACTTAGCTTAATACCTTCTGGATCCATCTATGTTGTTGCAAATGGCATAATCCCATCTTTTTTTTTTAATGACTGCATACATTCGTGTGTGTGTGTGTGTGTCTACACACACCTTCCTTCCTTATCCATTCGCCTATCAGTGGACACCTAGGTTGCTTCTACATCTTGGTTATTGGAATTACTTCGAGGGTGCATATGATATAAGAAGGATGTTAAGGTTCGAAGCTGATGGCCAGGAAAGAATTCTTGAGACGTCGTTGGTGCAAAACAGGGTTTTAATAAAGCATGGGGACAGGACCCGTGGGCAGAGAGAGCTGCAATGGGGTCATGAGGAGTGGCTGATGATATACTTTCAGGTTGAGAGGGGGTTAGGGAGAGCATAAGTCTAAAGGATTTTGGAAGCAGGGTTTCCAGGACCTTGAGGGGCTAGCTCTTGTTAGGATAATGTCATTTATTACTGTTTGGAAAAACCTGAGTCATGAGACCCTTCATATGTATATTGGTGGGTCATATGCTTGGGGGATGATTGCCAACAGGTATCTTGGGGGTAGAGATAAAGGAAGTTTCCAAAAGAATTTTTATATGTTAAAGTAGACTTAGAGGATCCTGAGGGTCAGGCTAAGATTGCCTTTTGCCCTTAGCAAAGTATTAACATCGAGGCAGTTGAGTCCCTAGAGGAATGTCACTCTGCCTGTTTCAAGGACCTGTTAATGGGTTGTAAGTAGTAAGGAAATTTAATTTTTCTTTTGCCTTTGTTTCCCACATCACATGTATCTTTTCAAATTATTAGTGTTTTCATTTTCTTTGGGTAGATGCCCAGCACTGGAATTACTGAGTCATATGGTAATTCTATTTTTAATTATTTGAGGAAGCTCCATGCTGTTTTCCATGTGGCTGCACCAATTTACATTCCCACCAACAATGCACGAGGGTTCCTCTCTCTCCACATCCTTACTGACACTTGTTATTTCTTGTCTTTTTGATACTAGCCATTCTAACAGGTATAACGTGATATATCTCATTGTAGTTTTGATTTGCATTTCCGTGATGATGAGTGATGTTGAGCATCCTTTCATGTATCTGTTGGCCATCTGTATGTCTTCTTTGGAAAAATATTTACTCAGGTTCGCTGCCCATTTTAATTGGATCATTTGTATTTTTGGTGTTGAGTTGTGTAAGTTCTCTATGTATTTTGGATATTAACCCCTTATCAGATATATCATTTACAGATACCTTCTCCTATTCAGTAGGTTGCCTTTTGGTTTGTTGACTGTTTCCTTTGCTGTGCAGAAGCTTTTTATTTTGATGTAGTCCCAATAGTTTATTTTTGCATTTGTTTCCCTTGCAGGAGACATATTTAGAAAAATGTTGCTAAGGCCGATGTCCAAGAAATTACTGCCTATGTTTTCTTCTAGGAGTTTTGTGGTTTCAGGACTCAATTTTGGTCTAATCTGTTTTGAGTTTATTTTTGTGTATGGTATAAGAAAGTGGTCCAGTTTCATTTTTGCATGTAGCTGTCCAGTTTTCCCAACACCATTTGTTGAGGAGACTTTTTCCCATTGTATACTCCTGTCTCTTTTGTCATAGATTAATTAGCCATATAAGCGTGGGTTTATTTCTGGGCTCTTTATTCTGTTCCATTGATCTATATGTCTGTTTTTTGTGCTAGTACCACACTGTTTTGATTATTATAGCTTTGTAATATAACTTGAAATCTGGGATTGTGATACCTCCAGGCTTGTCTTTCTCAAGATTTGTTTGGGTATTTTGAGGTCTTTTGTGGTTCCATACAAATTTTAGTATGGTTTGTTCTAGTTCTGTGAAAAATACAATTGGTATTTTGATAAGGATTTCATTGAATCTTAAACAGTTATTCTTTTTTTTTATGTTAATCACCATACATTACATCATTAGTTTTTGATGTAGTGTTCCATGATTCATTATTTTCATATAACACCCAGTGCTCCATGCAGAACGTGTCCTCTTTGATACCCATCACCAGGCTAACCCATCCCCCCACCCCTCTCCCCTCTAAAACCCTCAGTTTGTTTCTCAGAGTCCATAGTCTCTCATTGTTCATCTCCCCCACCAATTTCCCCCTCTTCATTTCTCCGTTCCTACTATCTTCTTTTTTTAAACATATAATGTATTATTTGTTTCAGAGGTACAGGTCTGTGATTCAACAGTCTTAACACAATTCACAGTGCTCACCATAGCACATGCCCTCCCCAATGTCTATCACCCAGCCGCCCCATCCCTCCCACCCCCCACCACTCCAGCAACCCTCAGTTTGTTTCCTGAAATTAAGAATTCCTCATATCAGTAAGATCATATGTTACATGTCTTGCTCTGATTGACTTATTTTGCTCAGCATATACCCTCCAGTTCCATCCACGTCGTTGCAAATGGCAAGATTTCATTCCTTTTGATGGCTGCATAATATTCCAGTGTGTGTGTGTGTATGTGTGTGTGTGTACCACATCTTCTTTATCCATTCATCTGTTGATGGACATCTTGGCTCTTTCCATAGTTTGGCTATTATGGACATTGCTGCTGTAAACATTGGGGTGCACATACCCCTTAGATCCCTACATTTGTATCTTTGGGGTAAACACCCAGTAGTGCAATTGCTGGGTCATAGGGCAGCTCTATTTTCAACTTTTAAACAGTTATTCTTTAATATCAAATCTAGTCAGTGTTCAAATCTTTAATATCCTCATAATTTCTTTTACTTTAAAATTATTTACAGGGGCACCTGGGTGGCTCAGTCATTAAGCATCTGCCTTCGGCTCAGGTTGTGATCCCAGGGTCCTGGGATCCAGCCCCACATTGGGCTTCCTGCTGGGCGGGAAGCCTGCTTCTCCCTCCCCCACTCTCCCTGCCTGTGTTCCATCTCTCACTGTGCCTGTCTTTCAAATAAATAAATAAAATCTTAAAAAAAATAAAAATAAAAATAAAAATAAAAATTATTTACAGTTTAAAAAAATTAGGATCTATTTAAAGTCCATATATTGCAATTGGTTGACATATTTCTTAAGTTTCTTTTAATCCGTTTGTTTTCCAGAGCTCCATGTCTTTCTTTTTCTCCTTGCGTTTTATTTGTTGAAGAAACAGACTTGTGTGACAGTAGAGTTCCCCACTGTCTGGATTTTGGCAGACTACACCCTGGGAATGTCATTTGACATGCTCCTCAGTCTTCTGCTTTCCTGTGAAGTAGGAGTTGGATCTGGTTAATATCCTTAGATCGGGGATACTTTTCACTCAGTCTCCCTTTAAGACCTCTTTGTCTTTAATTTTAGGGTACTACATTTTTATTAGAGTTTAATTTTTTTTTGTAAGCTCTATGCCCAAGGTGGTACTTGAACTCATGACCCCCAGATCAGGAGATCAAGAGCTGCATGCTCCACCAACTGAGCCAGCCAGGTGCCCCTAGGGTTTAATTTTAATTTATTTTTCATTATATGTGTTGCTTCCTATATCTCTGGATTTGGGTTTTTCTCCCTTCCTGAAGAGACAACAATGCCCATATTGCCTGTTTTCTTTCCCTGTTCTCGATTACTTTTATCCCCTTGTCTTCTTTTCTCCTCTCCTTCCAGCCCCTTCAGTAAATGACATAATAGACAAGTTATCTGATGTGAGCTAATTGGAGTTAAGCCGCATTTAAAAAAAATATATTATCAAAATACAGTTAGAGAGTTAAGTAAAATAAAGTTATGAGAATATGGCAGATACATCTATGGGTCCTTCTTTTCACCAAAATATGAAGACTAAATTGATCAGGAGTGTTGACTTCAAGAATATCTCAATGAAGTGAAAAAAACATTTTTAAAGGACTTTATTAATCTTTATTAATTCTTGTCAATTTTGTAATTTTCTTCCTAGATCTCCTCATATTTTGGATTCTGGCTGCATTATGATGAATGACACTTTGACATCAGATGTCATTGGTCGACGAGTTGCAGTTAATGGAGAACATGCAACAGTGCGTTTTTCTGGTATTGTCCCTCCTGTGGCAGGTAATTTATAATTCTCTGTGTGTCTGGATTTATTTATTTTGGAGTTCTTTCTTTGTAGGCTTCTCTGTAGTGTTTTGTAACAATGATTTTAAAGAAACTAACAACGAATTTGTAGATGCTTCCTATATGCAATTGTTTTGTTTGGGTAACAATATCCTGTGGTATCTATGGTTTTATTTAATTTTAGACTTATTTAATTATTTAGTGTTACTATTTTCTATTAATTCAACCTTAAAATATCTTATGAGTAAACGTTAAACAACAACTAATAATCTTGAATTCTCATGTCCTAACCTCAAAAACTAAGAAATTTTGGAAATTTCTTTTGTCATTAATCCACATGTATATGTCTTTAAAGTAGTTTAAATTGATAAACAATTTTGTGATCTCTTTTCTCACGTATTGTTTGGTAATATTTGTGTTTCTATAGCATCATTTTGTTTACATTGTTTTTTTTATTGAGGTATAATTGACATTTAACATTATATTAGTTTTAGGGGTACAAAATAATGATTTGATATTTGTATGTATTGCCTGATGATCACCAAGATAGGTCTAGTTAACATCTATCACCATACATAGTTAGAGTTTTTTTTCTTTTAAATAATGTCATTCTTTTATTTTTGAATTAATTTAGTATTTTATTTTTTATTTTTTATTTCAGTATTGTTAACATAGTTATATTGGTTTTAAGTGTACAATATAGTGATTCAACAATTCTATACATTACTCAGTGCTTGTCAAGATAAGTGTAACCTTAAATCTCCTTCACCTGTTTCACCCATCCCCCACCCACCTCACCTCTCGTGACCATCAGATTCTTCTCCGTAGTTAAGAGTTTCTTGGTTTCTCTCTCTCTTTTTTTTCCCCTTTACTTGGTTGTTTTGTTTCTTAACTTCCACATATGGGTGAAATCATATGGTATTTGTCTTTCTCTGACTGACTTATTTTGCTTAGCGTTATATTTTCTGGCCCCACCCATGTTGTTGCAAATGGCAAGATTTCATTCTTTTTTATGGCTGAGTAGTATTCCACTGTATATGTACACTACCTCTTCTTTATTCATTTATCAATCGATGAACACTTGAGCTGCTTCCATAATTTGCTATTGTAAATAATGCTGCAGTAAACATAGGGATGCATATATCTTTTCAAATTATTGGTTTCATATTCCTTGGATAAATACCCAGTAGTGGAATTACTGGATCATATGGTAATTTTATTTTTAATATTTTGAGGACCCCCCATACTGTTTTCCACAGCGGTTGCACCAGTTTGCGTTCCCACCAACAGTGCACGAGGGTTCCTTTTTCTCCACATCCTTGCCAATACTCGTTTCTTGTGTTCTTGATTTTAGCTATTCTGACTGGTGTGAGGTGGTATCTCATTGTGGTTTTGTTTTGCATTTCCCTGATGCCGAGTGATGTTGAACATCTTTTCCTGTCTGTGTTGGCTATTGGGATGTTTTCTTTGGAGAAATGTCTATTCATGACTCCTGCCCATTTTTAAATTGGATTATTTGGGGTTTTTTGTATGTTGAGTTGTAGAAGTTCTTTTTTTGGGATACTAACCCTTTATCAGATATGTCATTTGTAAATATCTTCTCCCATTCCATAGGTTGCCTTTTAGTTTCCTTTGCTCTGCAGAAGCTTTTTTTTTTTTTTTTTAAGATTTTACTTTTAAGTAATCTCTACACCCAACATGGGGCTTAAACTTACAGCCCCGAGATCAAGAGTTGCATGTTTGTGGGATGCCTGGGTGGCTCAGTCAGTTAAGCGTCTGCCTTCAGCTCAGGTCTGGATCCCAGGGTCCTGGGATCAAGTCCTGCATGGGGCTTCTTGCTCAGCAGGCAGCCTGTTTCTCCTGCCTGCTGCTCCCCCTGCTTGTGCTCTCTCTGACAAATAAATAAAATCTTAAAAAAAAAAAAAGTTGCATGCTCGTATGGAGGTTCCTCAAAAAGTTAAAAATAGAACTACCTCACAACCCAGCAATTGCACTACTATGTATTTATCCAGAGGATACAAACATAGTGATTCAAAGGGGCACATGCACCCCAATGTTTATAGCTGCAGTGTCCACAATAGCCAAACTATGGAAAGAGCCCAGATTCCATCAACACAGGAATGGATAAAGAAGATGTGGTGTGTGTGTGTGCGTGTGCATGTGTGTATACACACACACAATGGAATATTATTCAGTCATCAAAAGGAATGAAATCTTGCCATTGGCAGTTATGTGGCTGGAACTAGAGTGTATTATGCTAAGCCAAATAAGTCAGAGAAGGATGAATACCATATGATTTCACTCATGTGGAATTTAAGAAATAAAACAGATGAACGTAGGGGAAGGGAAGGAAAAATAAAATAACAGAGAGGGAGGCAAAGCATAAAAGACTCTTAACTATAGGGAACAAACTGAGGGTTGCTGGAGGGGAGGTGGGTGGGGGGATGGGGTAATTGAGTGATGGGCATTAAGGAGAACACTTGATGTAATGGGTGTTATACGCAACTGATGAATCACTAAATTCTACACCTGAAACAAATAATACACTATATGTTAACGAACTTGAATTAAAAAAATAGAGTTGCATGTTCCCCTGACTGAGCCAGCCAGGTGCCCCTGTGATGTAGTTTGAACATAAGTTTCACTTGACCCTGTGGGCAATTCTGAAGATAGGGTGGCCCTTCAGAGATTTTCCTAGTTGAGATGAGGGCTGGGCATTTATACCTGTGATGATCTATTACTGGGTTTTTGTATGTGAAAGGGGGTGTGCCAGGCACTTTCTTCAGTTGAGACAGTTCTTGAAAGTAGGCTCATAGGTGAGGGCTAATTGCCAGAAGCTAGTATTCCCAGCAGCTGGTGGGAATAAGTCTCGCTTTCTAAAGGCAGATTGGAGTATTGAGTCACAAATCCAATAATACAGATGGAAGTTATTTCATGGTAATTTAGTGACTATGAAGTGGTACATATTATTTTCATTTATTAAATTGCCTGTGAGTGGGGCACCTGGGTGGCTCAGTCATTAAGCGTCTGCCTTCGGCTCAGGTCATGATCCCAGAATCCTGGGATCGAGCCCCGCGTCGGGCTCCCTGCTCCGCGGGAAACCTGCTTCTCCCTCTCCCACTGCCCCTGCTTGTGTTCCCTCTCTCACTGTGTCTCTCTCTGTCAAATAAATAAAATCTTTAAAAAAAAAAGTTGCCTGTGAGTTTGATACTTCCTTCATGTATGTATGATCAGGCAAATTTTTCCCCCTAAAATTATAATTCTGCAAAGAAGGAGCTACTGTGTATTTATTAATTATCTCATCGTATGGGGGCATTCTCTATTTACCTCAACTGGTGCTACTTTTGAATTTCTTTTAGAAGTCAACAGGTAGAATTGGTAAAAAGATGCAGCGACATTGAACACGGATTTAGTAATTATTCCTGGAGCTGCTTCACTGTGTGTTGTAGGGTTGTGGTGATAACTAAATAAATGAAGGTGTTTAAAGCACTTAGACCAGTTAGTGGTGCATAGTGTCAGCTATTTTGCAAATATACATTTTATTTTTATTTTTTTTAAGATTTTATTTATTTGAGAGAGAATGAGAGAGAGCACGAGAGGGAAGAGGGTCAGAGGGAGAAGCAGACCCCCCCGCCACTGAGCAGGGAGCCCGATGTGGGACTCAATCCTGAGACTCCAGGATCATGACCCGAGCCGAAGGCAGTCGCTTAACCAACTGAGCCACCCAAGCGCCCTAGATACACATTTTAAAAATTTACTTAAAAAAGAAATAGAGCAGTTCTGATGTTTTGCAAATGGCTTGGGTTGGAAATTTAATTTCCTGAGATAGCATCATATGCAGGTTTTGTAATTTTTATTTTTTTAAAGATTTATTTATTTTAGAGAGAGAGTGCGAGCAAGCATGCATATGTGCAGTGGGGAGGGGCAGAGGGAGAAGGAGAGAAAGTAAAGTCTCAAGCAGACTGCCCTGAGCACAGAGCCCGACATGGGGCTTGATTGATCCCACGACCCTGAGCTGAAACCAAGAATCGGATGCTTAACTGACTGTGCCACCCAGGTGTTCCCATATGCAGATTTTAAAAAGTGTTTAAGTAAAGAGGATATGCCATGATGGGCAGAATAATACCCCTCCCCTTGCAACAAAGATGTCCCCAGGACCTGGGAGCATTATGTTTGGTTACATGGCAAAGGAGAATTAGGGTTGCAGGTGGAATTAAGGTTGCTAATCACCTGACTTTAAGATAGGAATATTATCCAGGTGGGCTGAGTGTAATCCCAAGGATCCTTAGAAGTAGAAGCAGAAGAGGGCAGTGCTGGAGTGCAGTGACGTGAGAAGGTTTCAACTGGCCACTGTGGGCTTTGAAGATGGAAGAGGGTGGTGAAGCCAAAGAGTGTGAGCGGCCTCTAGAAGCTGGAGAAGGCAAGGCAATGAATTTTCCTCTGTAGACTCCAGAAGGGAACACAGCTTTGCAACACCTTGATTTTATTTTATTTTTTTAAAGATTTTATTTATTAGAGAGAGAGAAAGAGCATGCATGAGAGTGGGGTGAGGGGCACAGGAAGAAGCCGACTCCCCGCTGAACAGGGAGCCTGATGTGGAGCTCAGTCCCGGGACTCCAGGATTATGACCTGAGCCGAAGGTAGACACTTAACCGACTGAGCCACCCAGTTCCCCTGCAACGCCTTGATTTTAGTCCAGTGAGACTGTCCTCAGGCTTCTGACCTCCAAAACTGTAAGATAATACATTTGTGGGCGTACTTGGGTGGCTCAGTTGGTTAAGTGTCTGCCTTCTGCTCAGGTCATGATCCCAGGGTCCTGGGATCGAGCCCCGATTGTAGGGGTGGGGGAGGGGTGTCCCTGCTCAGCAGGAAGGCTGCTTCTCCCTCTCCCTCTGTCCCTCCCCTCTCCACTCATGTTCTCTCTTGCTTGCTCTGCTAGCTCTCTCTCAAATCTTTAAAAAATAAATCTGTGTAGTTGTATAGCAGCAATAGGAAAC